GAGGTGAGGGGGATTAATAGCAATGTGTCTTTTACTATAATACACTTTTTATTTAAACATTCACTGTATTTTTTTATCGCACCTCAATAGATAGATCCAGCAGGCAGAAAAGACATAGTTGAACTCAAAAACACATCAATCAGCTGAATATAATAGACATATATAAACTACATTCAACAACAGCATCTCAAACTCACATGGGACATTCATCAAGACAGACCACATTCTGGGCCATAAAACACATCTTAACAAATTTTAAAAGAATAGAAATAATATAATGTCTGCTCTCAGATCAAAATGGAATTAAACTAGAAATCAATAACAAGATAGCTGGAATATCCCCAAATATTTGAAGATTAAACAACATGCTTCTAAAAACACATGGGTCAAAGAAATCTCAAGAGAAATTTTAAAATATTTTGAACTAAATGAAAATAAAAGCAACTTATCAAAATTTGTGGGATGATTTCCTCAACAAAGACTGTACAAAAAACCTACAGCGAACATCATATTTAATAGTGACAAACTCAAAGCTTTCCCACTAAGATCAGGAACAAGGCAAGGATGGTCCCTCTCGCCACTGCTTTTCAACGTTGTATTGGAAGTGCTAGCTAACGCAATAAGCAAGAAAAGGAAATAAAAGTATCAGATTGACAAGAAAGACAAAATCATCTTTGTTGTAGATAACATGTTCGTCTATGTAGAAAACTGAAAGAGTTGACAACAAAATTCCTGGAACTAATAAGCAATTACAGCAGGGTTATAGGATGCAAAGTTAATAGATAAAAGTTAATTGCCTTCTTATATACCAGCAATGAACAAGTAGAATTTGAAATTAAAAACAATATCATTTACGATAAAAAAGAATACTTAGTTATAAATTTAATAAAATATGTGCAAGACCTATCTGAGGAAAACTATAAAACTGATGGAATATATCGAAGAGCTAAATAAATGTAGAGACATTTCAGGTTCATGAATAGGAAGAAGACTCAATATTGTCAAGTTGTCAGTTCTTCCTACTTGATCTACAGAATCAATGCAATCCAAATCAAAATCCCAGCAAGTTATTTTGTGGGTATCAACAAGCTGATTCTAAAGTTTTTATGGAGAATAGCCAACACAATAGTGAAGGAGAAGAACAAAATTGGAGGACTGGCACCATTCGCCTTCAAGACTTACTATCAATGTACAGTAATCAAGTAATTGTGGTGTTGGCAAAAGAATAGACAAATAGACCAATGGAATAGAATAAAGAGCCCAGAAATAGACTCTCTTAAATATAGCTAACTGATCTTTGACGAAATGAGCAAAGGGAATACCATGGAGAAAAAATAGTCTTTTAGGCAAATGATGCTGAAACAACTGAACAGCCACATGCAAAAAAAATGAATCTAGACACAGATTATATATTCTTTACAAAAATTAATTCAAAATGGATCACAGACTTAAATACAAAACTATAAAACTCCTAGAAGATAATAAAAGAGGCACTCTAGATGACCTTGGGGATAACTTTTTAGATACACCACAGAGTATGATCCTTGAAAGAAATAATTGATAAGCTACGCTTCCTTGAAATTAAAAATTTCTGCTCTGTGAAAGACACTGTCAAGAGAATGAAAAGACAAGCTACAGACTGGGAAAAAATATTTGCAAAAGATGTTTGACAAAGGACAGTTATCCAAAATATACGAAGAACTCTTAACACTCAACAATAAGCAAACAAGAATCCCAGTTAAAAAATGGGCCAAAGACCTTAACAGATATTTCACCGAGAAGATGTACGATGGCAAATGAGCATATGAAAAGATACTGCACATCATATGTCATTAGGGAATTTCAAACTTAAAAAATAATGAAATACTTCTACATACGCATTAGATTGGCCAACATCCAAAACACTGACAACCAAATGTTGACAAGATGTGGAACAACAGGAACTCTCTTTCATTACTGGTGGGAAGGCAAAATTGTACAACCTCTGTGGAAGAGAGTTTGGCAGCTTCTTACAAAGCTAAACATAACTCTTACCATACAATCGAGCAATCACGCTCCTTGGTCTTGACCAAGGTGAAAACTTGAAAGGAGGTAAAAACTTAGGTCCACCCAAATATCTGCACACGGAAGTTTTAGTAGCTATATTCATAATTGCCAAAATGTGGACGCAACCAAGATGGCCTTTGGTAGCTGAATCAATCCACTGTGGTCCGTCCAGACAATGGGATGTTTATTATTCATTGTTAAAAATAAATGAGCTCTCAAGCCATGAAAAGACGTGGAGCAAGTTAAATGCATATTACTAAGTGAAAGAAAGCAATTAAAAAAGTCTACCTACTGTGTGATTCTAACTATATGATATTCTGGAAAAGGCAAAACTATGGAGACAGTAACAAGATGAGTGGTTGCCAGGCATTGGCGGGAGGACAGATTTTTATTTAGGGCTGTGAAACTTCTCTGTATGATAGAATAATCTATCGTACATAATGGTGGATAGATGCCATACATCTGTCCAAACCACAGAATGTACAACACCAAGGGTGAGCCCTAATGTCATCTATGGTCTTTGCGTGATAATGTGTCAGTATAGGTTTGTCAGCTGTAACAAATGTAGAACTCTAGTGGGGGATGGTGACAATGTGGGGAGGTTGTGCTTACGTGGAAGAAGGGGGTACCTGGTAGAGCACTGTACCTGCCCAATTTTGCCATGAACCTAAAAAAATAAACTCTATTTAATTCTAATAAAATAAAGTCTATTTTAAAAAAGAGTTATTGGCTTACATAATTGAAGAGCTCAGGGCTAGGGGAGGCTCCAGGCATGGCTAGATTCAGGAGCTCAGTGACACCATAGCAATGCAGTCTTCATCTCTCAGCTTTGCTTTCTTTCCTGACTCCAGCAGGGAGCTCCAGGGGCCCCAGGCTTGATGACCCCTAGTACGAAACAGGCTCTCTCTGCACCTGGGAAATTGCTTGGCGAGGGAGGGCTCTTAGTGGACAGCTTGAGCCTATGCCCACCCCTGCAGTGGGGGAGGGGAGATCCTCCCCCCGCTCCCCAAAGGAAGATTGAGGCTTTGTTGCTGGAGAAAGGGAGACTAGATTTTGGGCCAGAAAAAGCCATGGAGTAGATGATCAGGCAGGACCCCTCCAGCCCTAACATTTGATGCCTCTGGTGCCAGCAGCCTGCCAGGTTGGGGGCAGAGGACAGGCTTTCTGTAGGAGATGGTGTTTGAACTGGGCCTTAAAGGTCCTATGGGACGGCTGCAGGTGACTGAGAGGGTGTTGGGCGTAGCGGGAACAAAGGTGGATGTGTTTGGGAGCTGCTGAGAAGACCATTTTAGTGGGACGGGGGTGTGTGAAGATATGTTGGGGCCAGGCGGGGGCCTTCCGGGATCTGGGTCCTGCCCCCACATTTCCCAGCCTCACCCATACTGGTTCCTCTGGGTGTTAACATCTCAGGAGGGCACCTCCTTGGGGCGGGAAGCTGTGTCTCCACATGTCTGATGCCCACCTCCCTCCAGGCGTTCCTGGTCTATACTGCGGGGGTCTACTCCAACATGGGCAACTACAAGTCCTTCGGCGACACCAAGTTTGTTCCCAATCTGCCAAAGGTGAGCTGAAGGAGGGCGGGGGAAGATGGGAAATTGGGGGCCATTGGGATGGGAGGGAGGTCCTGAGCGGAGCCCTGACCCTATCATGCCACGCTGCGTGACCTCAGGTCAGCCACCCAGCCTTGCAGGGTGCAGCCTCCTCCTGACTGTGCTGACCTAAGGAGCGGGCAAGAGAGGACGTGGAAGTGCTCTGTGAACTGTTAGGTGCTTGCAGAAATGAAGCCTGTTGGTCATCCCTGGGGACAGTGGAGAAGCCTGGGGACAGGAATCCCTCCCTGGGACTGGGGCTCAGGCTCATCTGGGGCTGAGGCAACTCTAACACCAGGCCCTCTAGCCCTCACTGTGCACACGAACTGCCTGGCGATCGTGTTGAAATGCAGCTTCTGATTGAAAGGTCTGCAGTGGGGCCCGAAATTTGACATTTCTCAGGCAATCCCAATGCTGCTGGTCCCTCGAGCGCACTTGGAGCTGGAAAGCCTTAGATTGTGGGAGAAGAGCTTGGGGGTGGCTGTGGAGGCTCCAGAAGGTGGATTTGCGTGGTGTGGCTGGGCCAGTGACCTCCCTTCCCCTGCAGGAGAAGCTGGAACGTGTGATCCTGGGGAGTAAGGCCGCCCAGCAGCATCCAGAAGCCGTCAGGGGCCTCTGGCAGACCTGCGGGGAGCTCATATTCTCTCTGGAGCCGAGGCTTCGACATCTCGGGCTAGGGAAGGAGGTGAGGCCCCCAACCACACGGGAGAGTGGAGGGCGTCCTTTGAGGCTACCTGGTATGGAAAGAAGGGACCCAATGGCGAGTCAGGGGGCTCTGCCTCACACTCTGAGGCAAAGCTGCTCCCCACTGTGGGCCTCAGTTTTGCCATCTGTAAAATGGGAAGCAGGTTGGGTGGGATGGTGTGTGCAGAAGGAGGGAAGGAGAGAAGAGCTGAGGGCTGGAGGGAGCTAAGGAGAGGAAAGGCGGGGGACCCAGGCTTCGGCCTCTGGAGGCCGCTTGGGAACTGCATAGGGTGAGTGACATGGGAAGCCTTAGGGTTGGGCCGGCCCGTGAGAGGCTGCAGCAGAGCTGCAGAAGGGCCTCTGTTTGTTGTTTGTGTTACCATTTTTCCCCTGGAAAGAGATGGAGGGGGATGGGGTGGAGGCTGCTGAGAAGGAGGTGCAGGAAGCTGGGGCTAGAGAGCGTGCGCTGGGAAGGGGTTCACCAGCTACCTGCAGCCCTTGACCTCAGCACTCCTTTCCGTCCTTCGCCGACAGGGCATCACTACCTATTTCTCAGGAGACTGTACCATGGAAGATGCCAAACTGGCCCAAGACTTTCTGGACTCACAGGTTTGGGGAACTTGGGACAGTGGTTGGATGGGGCCTCCTCGCCACTGGCGCCTACTCCTGGGTCTTAGCTTGGGTCAGAGACACGGGCATCTTGGGTTTTGGAGGTGGAGAAGACTTGGGGATCCTTGTCTAAGAGTCAGCCTGGCTCGAAGGAAGATGCCCTCACCCCACCGCAGGCTGAAGGGCAGGTCGAGGCAGAACATGAGAACTGCTGGGGAGTCCACATGTGGGGTTCACCTCCCAGCTCAGCTGCTCAGCAGCTGTGTGACCAGTTTCCCTGTCTGTGACATGGGGCCTGCCTCGTGTAGCCCTGGGTTAGCTGAGGTCACGTGGTACCTGGCACAGCTAAGTCAGTGCTTAGTAAAAGTTAGTGCTCAGCGTACTGAACGGCGCAGCACAGGAGAGGCTGCCCCCCGGCTCTGTCTCCTCCCTGCTGACTCAGGCAGGTCCCCAGGGGGCCCCGGCCCGCTTTGCCTCTGTGTCTCCTCTCCCTGGTGTGACACGCTTTCCCTCCGCCTCCCCCAGAACCCTCTCTGGACTCACTCTCCCCTAATCCCCTGCCCTGGTCTTTTCCAGAACCTCAGTGCCTATAACACACGGCTCTTCAAGGAGGTCGGCCAGGATGGGAAGCCCCATTACGAGGTGCGGCTGGCTTCTGTGCTCGGCACAGGTGAGCTCCTTTCTGTATATATGGGGACGGTGAACTTAGTAAACTCGGCTTCCTAAATATCTCTCAAAGTACCTCAAGGTCAAGCCCAGATCCATCTCGAAGGGCTCTGTTGTTCATAACTCCTTGGTTACGATTTTACATTTGCCTAAACCAAAAGGGGACTTTCCAGCCTTGGGTAATTAAGAAGCCCAGAGTAGGAAGTCTTCAGACACAGCTGGTTCCAGCTGCTCAGACAGTATTCTTGGAAATGTCTAACTGACTCTGGGTGGTGAACACACAATGCAATATATAGATGATGTATTATAGCATTGTACACTTGAAACCTATATAATTTTACAAGCCAATGTCACCCCGATAAATTTAATAACAATTTAAAGTTTAATTAAAAAAACAAACAAACATTCTCTCTCTGTCTCTTGGCTGGGCTCTCTTTGACTTCATCCACAGCTACTCCCACAGAGGGCCTGATAGACACGAGCCTGGCCATTTCAGCAGAAGGAGGGTCCTTTTCTCCCAGAAGCTTCTTCATAAGGTCTTGGAGTAGCTCTAGTTTCTCTATTTTGGACCCTGTATTTGTCTGTGAACCAATCCCTGTGGTCAAGGGCCAGGTCTCTGATTGGCTAGATCTGGTCCCAAGCCTACCTCAGAGCCAGGCAGTGAGGTCGGCCCCTCCCACCTCCTGAACTGGAGGTAGTAGTGGTGGGGGGGGTTCTCAAAGGAAAATGGGGGTCTGTTTCAAGGGGAAAATGGATGCAGCGTGGACAGGAATGCCCAGGCCCCTATGAGACCTTTGCAGTGTGGCCCTCCCTCTCCCACCCACCTACAGCTTCTCAGCTCCCAGCCCCATTGTCCTTCCCAGTCCTCCCCTGAGACTCCATGCCCCAGCCATGCTCGACAGCTTCCAGGTCCCTGAAAGCGCCGTGTTCTCACACACACTCTTTCCAGGCCTTTGCACAGTCTGCTCCCTCCCACCCTGACTGGAATGTTCTCCCTCCCCTCTAGATGTTCACCTGATGACATCTGCTCATCCTTCAGGCCCTGCTTGGATGTCACCTTCTCCAGGGGCTTTCCCTGTCTTCCCATAACTGAGTCCCGGCCTCTCTGCTTCCCCACCAGCACACCCAGTCATTTCCCAGTTACTTTTCTGTTTCCTCTACTTGCCTGCTAGCCCCTTGAGCGGAGGGACTGTGTGTTTCCTTCACCAGTGTCTCCCCGGTGGCTAGCACTTGGTAGATACTCAGATATTCGGTGTATGAATAAATGAAGATGGGTGGGGAACTGCACTCCTGGTGGCGGGAACAGCATGAGCTGAGGCAGAGTGGCAGGAAAGTTTAGGAATTAGCAAGTAGTTTGATTTGACTAGGGAAAGGGATATAGACTTCAAGGGAATGGGAGTAGATCACACCAGAATATAAACTGGGCCGGTACTTATAGGATGCAATATAGGACAGTGGCTTTGGAGTCAGGCTGCCTGAGTGCATCAGTTATCTATTGCTGTGTGACAAACATCCCCCAATTTAGTGATATAAACCCACCTTTTCATGCTCACGGACTGTGTGGTCAGGAATTTGGATGGGGCACGCTAGGAACAGCTTGCCTCTGTTTGACGATGGCCAAGGCCTCAACTGGGAGGACTTGGAGACTGGGGCTGACTTGACCGCTGGGAGCTGGAATCATTTACAGGTTTCCTTACTCACATCCAGCGTTATATGCCAGCTGTCTGTCAGCTGGGACCTCAGCTGGGACCTCAACCAGAACGCCTCCCGTGGCTTTGTCATAGTGCTCACTATGGCTGGGCTCCAAGAGCGAGCACTCGGAGAGAGCCAGGCTGAAGCTGTGTCGTCTTTTATGACCAAGCCTCAGCAGTCACAAGTATCACTTCTGCTGTCGTCACAAGCCTTCCCTCCTTCAACAGGAGGGAATATAGCCCCCACGTCCTGATGGGAGATGGGAGATTCTGTGGCTATCTTATTTTTTCTTTACATAACTAGAAGTATATTTTATTGATCAGAGGCAACAAGCAAAATACAACAGTATGTCAGTATCCCAAAGCTTCTGTAACAAATCGCCACAAATTTATTGGCGTGAAACAGCATACAATTATTCTGTTACAGTTCTGGAGGCCCAAAGTCTAAAACAAAACTCCAGTTCCTTCTGGAGCCTTCAGGGCAAAATCCGTTTCCTTGCCTCTCAGCTTCTAGAAGCTGCCTGCATTGCTTGGCTCACGGCCCTTCCTCACAACTCTCCAACTTCTTTCTTATCACACCTACTCCCCAGTCACCCTCTTGTTTTCTTATAAGGACCATTGTCGTTACATATTGGGTAGGGCCATCTTTTTAAAATACAGTCTGCCACACTGGAATTGAATCCTTCTGTGCTACTTGTTGCCCGTGTGACCTTAGAATTAACCTCTCGGTGCCTTAGTTTCCCCATCTGTAAAATGGAGATAATAATTCCCCTCTTCCCCCCAGACTCATGTGAGGCTTAAAGGAGTTGCTACCTGTAAAGCACTTAGAACATTTCATGCTACATCATGTGTATATTTGTGAAGATGGACGTTGATGCGAGTTTCTGGAGGCAGTGGGCAGCCACAGGAGAGCTTAGAGTAGAAGAATATCCCGGTGAGAAGCCTGCTGGGGTGTTTCATTCTCGCCATTCCCCTGAGCTACCCTTTTCCCCTCAGAGCCTGCTCTGGACTCGGAAATGACTTCCAAGCTGAAGAGCTACAAATTCCAGGAGAGCCATTTCCAGGTGACCCGGGGGGACTATGCACCCATCCTCCAGAAAGTGGTGGAGCACCTGGAGAAGGCTAAGGTAGGGCCGGCTGGGGCTCGAGGTGTGTGGACTCCAGAGCCCTCTGGGAAGCACCGCGGGGGTAAGGGGTGGGTGGGTGGCCTGAGGCTGATCAACCCCTGCTCACCCCCAGACGTATGCAGCCAACAGCCACCAGGAGCAGATGCTGGCCCAGTACATAGAAAGCTTCACCCAGGGCTCCGTCGAGGCCCACAAGAGGGGCTCCCGCTTCTGGATCCAGGACAAGGGCCCCATTGTGGAGAGGTGAGGGGCCCAGCCTCATCCCGCCCCACCCCTCCTTCTTGCCCCTCCTGCATCTCTGCCCTTCTCTCCCTCAGTTACATCGGGTTCATCGAGAGCTACCGAGACCCCTTTGGTTCCCGTGGAGAGTTTGAAGGTAACTTCCAGGAGGCGGGAGGTCAGATCGGTAACCCTTTCCCCGTGTCCCCCTGAGGACTCTCCCCTTCCCCCTGGGCAGTAAGACTAACAATTACAACTGCCATTGTTGATGACGTGCCACGTACTGGACACTTACTTATATTAGCTCATTTATCCGATGAGGATTTCTGCCCTCTCTTTACAGATGTGGGAACCGAGGCACAGTAGGTACCAGGTGGCCAAGCCCAGGTGCCTTGGCTCTGAACCATTTTGCTGTGCTGCCTCTGGTAATTCTGGTCTGGGTACCAGATTACCAGGCTTTGTGACCTTGGGCCAATTAACCCCACTTCTGAGCATCAGTCATTCCCTTTTGGGTGTCAGGGAAAGTGAGACATTATATTCAGACTACTCAGCACAATGCTAGGCACATAAAAGTGCTGGTGAGTGGGAGCCTAAGTAACATGACTGTGAACTTGACTCTGCTGCTGTCATCCCAGGGCACGTGGCAGGCTGCCTTGGCCCCTATGCCCACACCCACTACAGGATCTACCTGTGCAAGGCAGGGCATCCAGCTTGAGAATTTAGACTTGTCTCTGCCAAGCCCCTGGATATAGAGTCTGGAATATCCAGCTGCCAGAAGCCAGAGAAACTAGCCGGGGAGGAGAGAGGAAGGCGCCAGCAGCCCACGGGCAGCTCGGATCTGAGCCCATAGATCCAGGCCCAGGGACAGTGCAGAAGGGGACAGGTGGCCTAGGAGTCTGAGGGGGAGACAGGTGTGCATACCTGCAGCTTTCCTGCCCAGGCCCTAATTTGCCAGGCCTGCTGTGAAGGCCAAGACCCAAGGGCCTCCTCAGCACCCTCCATCTCAGATGCCCCCCATTATAACTCATTGTTATTAGAAAGGTAGTCCATGTTCATAGTCAAAAATTTTGAAAATACAGAAAAAAAAATCAGCTGTGATTTCACCTGCCCCAAGGTTAAAATTTAGGATATACTTTTTGTTTTTATAGAGAGCTTATAAATGTTTTAAACCATGTAATTGTGTGTGTGTGTGTGTGTGTGTGTGTGTGTGTGTAACTTAAAAATCCATGTTTGTTGTAAGTAATTAGAACAGTACAGAAGTATGTAGAATAAAATGTGAATCTCTTTTACTACCTTCTCGTATGTCACTCCTCTTCAGAGGTCACCACAGCTCACGGTTGAGCACAAGTCCTTCCAGACCTTTGTCTAAGCATTGACACACGTACATTACTTTTAATTCATCCAGGTAGATATTATAAATATTATACATATTGTTCTGTCATTTGCTGTTTTCACTTAATGGTATAGCTTGATATCTTTTCAAATCAGTACATATAGACCTACCACATTCTTTGTTTTTTTAAGGGTTTTTGTTCTTTTAAATTTTATTGGGGAACAGTGTGTTTTTCCAGGACCCATCAGCTCCAAGTCAAGTAGTTTCAATCTAGCTGTGGAGGGCGCAGCTCCTTGACCCATGTGGGAATCGAACCGGCAACCTTGGTGTTATGAGCCTGTGCTCTAATCACCTGAGCTAACCGGCCACCCCTACCACATTCTTTTTAATAGCTGCTTAATATTCACACTATATATCATAAATAATTCCCATGACGTTTGATACTGTCCTACATGTCTAACAGTTGCATGATGTGCCATCATATAGCTGCCCCATAATTTATTTAATCAATCCCCAATTGTTGGACATTTAGATTGCTTTTCCTTCTTTGCTATTTTAATTATTCTCTCTTTCTGGCCTGACGTGACGATTCCACTGGACAGAGTGGATCCGGACATGGATGCTTTGTCAAGCCTGACCTGTGGCCAGGTTAACTTATTCTTCTCAAGAGCCTGACCAGGAATAGTCTAGGCCAGGCCTTTCTGAGGTATAGTCCATTCAGAGCTAATAGGAATTACATCCAGAAGAAGGGTTTGGTGCTAAGCAGCCAGGGGTCTCTGTCTGCAGGACTTTTCAGTACCTTTAATATGTAAATGTGATTAGGAACCTCTAAGAACTTGGAGATAGCATTGCCCAAACTTATTTGATCGGGAAGCTCTTTCTTTATGAAGCCTCACATAGAAAAATGTGTTGTATGGAGGGCATTTTGGAAACACTGCTTTGAGCCAGGAACTCGAACTGCATTAAGTGTGAAAGGATCAGTCCCAGTCCTCCTGTTCAGCAGCCTTGCGCACTGCCACACAAACCAAATGTTCTAACCATGCGGGACAGCTCACACTTCCCCCCAAAAGAAGAGCATCTTTCTTTGCTCATGTAGTTCCTTCTGCTGGGAATCTGATCCTTTCCGTACCACCCACTACGTACTTGCCATAAACTCCTTTAAGATCCATCTCAGCTGTTACCCAGTGAAGCCTTCTCTCCACGCCCTGCTCACCCCAGTGACCTCCGTGATCCCCAGTGGCCAGTACAGGGTCATCGCACACAGCAGGCATTCACTACACACATGAAGACTGGAGGGGTGAGACCCTTCCCGAGCAACCCACAGACCCCTCTCTCCCCTGCAGGCTTCGTGGCCATGGTGAACAAGGCCATGAGTGCCAAGTTTGAGCAGCTGGTGGCGAGCGCGGAGCAGCTGCTGAAGGAGCTGCCCTGGCCCCCGGCCTTCGAGAAGGACAAGTTCCTCACCCCCGACTTCACCTCCCTGGATGTTCTCACCTTCGCTGGTTCCGGCATCCCTGCTGGCATCAACATCCCCAACTGTGAGCATCCTCAGCCCATCCATAGCATCCCCCAACCCCCAAGAACCTCCATTTAGAGTCACCCCCTCCCCGCCACATGTTACACCTGGCCTCGAGTTTCCCTGCTCCGTTCACCATCCCAGCCTGTTGCTCTTGTCTGTGACTCTTGACCTTTGCCCCTTCTCCCTGGTCTCCTCCCTGCCCTCTCCTTCAGATGACGACCTGAGGCAGACAGAAGGCTTTAAGAATGTGTCACTGGGGAATGTACTGGCCGTGGCCTATGCCACGCAGCGTGAGAAGCTCACCTTCCTGGAGGAGGATGACAAGGTGGGCACTGGGAGCCCCGGGGTCAGGGCTGGGCCTCTCACCTAACCTCTGCGGCCAGCAGGAAGGCAGACAGCCCAGGGGAAAGAGCACGGCTTCGGTCCTGGCTCTGCCGCTTCCCAGCCACGTGACCTTGTAACTTTGGAGCCTGTTTTCCTCATCACCTGTCAAACACGGGAGGCAGTCCCTTCCTCCCGGGTTGTTGCAAGGATGAGATGGACCACCTAGTGCCCCGTGTGGCGCCTGGTGTGTAGTAGGCCTTTACGAAACATGTGTCATGATGGGCCCTCGGCCTGGCAGACAGGGTGTTGGCAGGCTATGTGGCCTCGGTGGGACAGTGGACAGCATGGGTCTCCGCTTGTCTTGGCAGGACCTGTATATCCGCTGGAAGGGGCCCTCCTTCGATGTGCAGGTGGGGCTGCATGAACTGCTGGGCCATGGCAGCGGCAAGCTCTTTGTGCAGGTAAGAGCGTGACTGGTGGACCCTCAGTACCCAGGCCTGCAGCTCCCTTCCCCCATGATCAGCCCTTCCCAAGCAGGAAGCTGCTTCAGTCCTTGCCCTCAGTGTCCCTCCCTCCCATAAGATGTCCCAGGTGCTCCAAAGATTGAATGGGACCTGCCGGACAGTCCAGCTGATGTCCCCCCACCGCAGAGTCTCTTGCTCAGTAGGAATTGCTTGGCCCGTACCAAGGAGGCCTGCCCTGAGGGTGTGACTCAGGCAGTCCAGGGGACAAAGAAGCTGGGAGGGCCTGGGCTCTGGATGCGCCCAGTCCTGAGGCTGCAGCACTGCCTGTCTTTGCACTGCTGTTCCCTGGAGCCTATACGTTTCCAGGCATTCTAGGGGGCTGCTCCTCCCTAGAGCAGCTCCTTCCTGCCAGCTGGCCAGAGTGGCTGGAGCCCTCTCGACACCCACTCAGGGAATATGAAAAAGACAGCCTTTCTCATAGGCTGAGAAGAGCCCATTGTGGACCCCAAGCACAGAGCTGCACAGATGAGATGCCTGGCGGCAGGTGGGGCGAAGACAACAGAATGTGGGGCTCCAGATGGGGCCTGCTCCCTGTGGGGTGGAGGTGCCCCCTGAACAGGGAAGGGAGGGCTGGAGCTTGGGCCTGGGTCTGGGCCTGGAAGTCAGGAGGATTCAGAGAACAGCTGGTGAGGGCAGCAGCCTGCTGTCAGGCCTTGTCCAGGCTTTGAGTCACAGCAAAGTAGGGACAAATAGGGCCACTCTGTGGCTTTGAATAAGTCAGTTCCCCTCACTGATCCTCAGGTGGCCCATCTGTAAAATGGGGTTCCTGACCCCCACTCTATGGGCTGTTGTGAGGAATAAAAGCGAAGCCCTGGGGCTTGCCCGGAACACAGGAAGCCCTTGGCAAGTGGGCATTCTTGTTAAGAAACAGTGGGCACAGAGGCTGTGTCTGATTCTGCTGTGGGGCTCTTAGTCTCTGAGCCTCACTTTCTTCCTCTGGGAAGTGGGGTAACCACCTTCCTTGGAGGGTGATGGTGAGGATTTAGTGGGTGATGCGCAAAAGATAGGCATGTGGACAGCACGGTGAGGGTGATGCTTGTTCGAGGTAGAGAAGCACATGCTGGGCACAGGGAGAAGGGCTGGGGTGCACAGAGGGAGGAGCCGCCATGCTCTCTGGCCCACCTGCTGGGACACCTCTGGGTCTGGGTCTTCACAGGACTTCGGGCAAGTCCCGCCCCTCTCTGGCCCTTGGGCAAGCCCCGCCTCTCTCTGGCCCTTGGGCAAGCCTTGCCCCTCTCTGGCCCTCAGAGTCGCTCTCTGTGCAGTGGGGCAGTGGCCCTGGTTCTTCCACCTCCCGGGGACTCTGAGAGAGCAGCAGGTGTCACCGGACTCAGGTTTGAAGGCAGCAGTGTGTCCGTGGACCTGCTGCTGCTTCCATCTGCTCACTGCTCCCTGGTCACCTTTCTGAGCCACTCGTCAGGCCCTGGGCTCCCAGGGCTGAAGGCCTGGATCTGAGCAGGGGCACCTGTCCATCACTCGCCCCATGTCAATGACCCTTCTGCAGGATGAGAAAGGAGTGTTCAACTTTGACCAGGAGACAGTGGTCAACCCAGAGACAGGGGAGCAGGTGAGGACAGCCTCGGCGGAGCCCCAGGATGCTGGGAGGGTGGGCACGGGTGGGGTGGCCGCAGCCCCTAAGCCTGCTTCCTGGGACCTCCCCTTCCAGATTCAGAGCTGGTACCGGAGCGGGGAGACCTGGGACAGCAAGTTCAGCACCATCGCCTCAAGCTATGAAGAGTGCCGGGCCGAGAGCGTGGGCCTCTACCTCTGCCTGCAGCCCCAAGTGCTGGAGTACGAGCAGCAGGCGTGGGGGCAGGCCTCCCCTGTGGGTGGTGGAGGGGTGCCAGCAGGGAGGGCAGGGCCCAGGCAGCCTTGGACACCCCACCACCTCCCTCTCCTTCCCCTAGGATCTTTGGCTTCGAGGGGTCTGATGCAGAAGATGTGATCTACGTGAACTGGCTCAACATGGTTCGGGCTGGGCTGCTCGCCCTAGAGTTCTACACCCCTGAGGCCTCCAACTGGAGACAGGTGGGGAGCCCCCAGGAACAGGGGAGCCTGAAGTAGGGGCCAGGATCAGGACTTTGGATTCAGGGATGGGACCACCATACCTATGAGGCCCATGAACTGGGTTTAATCTCAGATTCCACTGCGTATGGGGGCGTGTCATGTCACTGTTGCGAGCCTCAGCATCTCTGTGAAATGGGAATAATAATCTCCCTGCCCACTTTGAGGGTGAATCAAATCAGAGGCATTACTGTGACTCCTGATAGATGACTTGCATAGGACTTACTCCGTGCCATGCACAGTTATAAGCACTTTATGTAAATGAACTCGTTTGTGCCCAGTATCAACCCCAGGAGGTAGGTACTATTATTACTCTTATTTTAGAGATGATGGAGTTGAGGTATAAGGAGATTAAGTCACTCACCGGTAAGCAGCAGAGCCTGGATTCAAATCCAAACAGCCTGCCTCTAGAGCCATCAGGCTGGACTGCTCAGTTATGAGGTGTACTTTGGAAATAGAGTAAGCAATAGAAATGGTTTAAAAAGTCAAATAAGCTTGTTTTAAGGAGGCAATATTATGTTATCAAAAGAACACAAATTTTAGAATGAGGCAACTTGGGTCTGAGTCCTTGCTCTCCCTTACCAGCTGTGTGACTCTGAATAAGTCACTTTACGTCTCTGGGCCTATGTTTTGTCATCTGTAAACTGGGGATAATGATGCCCTTTTTGTCCCTCTGTTGAATGCAGACAAGATGGTGGAAGAGAAAGTGTTTGGGATCCTGTTGGTGAAGGACACTTGGGGGTAACTGCTGTCATCAGGGTGGGGTTTGGAGAGGCAGAGAGCATGTTGGTGACAAGGGGGAGCATAGGTGCTGCCTGGAAGTGGCCTTCCTGTCCCCCAGGGCAGCCTGCCCTCCCTTATGGGCAGAGGAAGGAGGAAGTATCTGAGGGGAGAGGAATAGGCAGAAAAGGGGAGAATAAAATGGTAAGAATAATTGACAGCGCCCACGTACTATATATCAGGCCTCAGACCAAGCACTTCATGTATCTCATCTCAGAGCTGCAAATGACTTCTCTCTCCTGGGCCCCGGCAGGCTCATATGCAGGCCCGGTTTGTGATCCTGAGGGTCTTGCTGGAGGCTGGCGAGGGCCTCGTTACCGTCACTCCCACCACAGGCTCTGATGGGCGCCCAGATGCCCGGGTCCACCTTGACCGTAGCAAGATCCGGTCCGTGGGCAAGCCTGCCCTGGAGCGGTTCCTACGGAGACTTCAGGTAAGTGTAGACCTCTCACCTCAGAGGGCCTCTCCAACCTCACCCTATTTCCCCACCCTTTAACGCTGCCTCATAGCCTCTCGATTGATTGATTGATGCATTCATTCATTCATTCATTCAATGAGTCTATGTACCGAGTGTTAGTTACCGTGTGCCATGCACTGTGAGCATTTTCTTTTAAAGATTTTATTGGGGAATTGGGGAAGGGGGACAGCCAAGTTGTCCTTCAGTCTTAGTTGTGGAGGGCACAGCTAGCTCAGCTCTAAGTCCAGTCGTCATCCTGCCGCCCGAAGGCAGCTCGCGGCTGCTCAGCTCAAGGTGTTATGTTCAATCCTAGTTGCAGGTGGAGTAGCCCACCATCCCATGCAGGAGTCGAACTGGCAACCTTGTTAGGAGCACGTGCTCTCACCAGCTGAGCCATCCAGCCACCTTTTGGCAGCTCAGCAGCAGCTCAGCTCGGGCGCAGCTCACTGGCCCATGTGGGAATTGAACCGGCAATCCTGTTGCTCAGAGCTTGCGCTCTTAACCATCTGAGCCACTTGGCAAGCCCTTGTGAGCATTTTCTTACATTTTAGTGAAGAAGGTAGATAATAGACATGCAAACAATGAGTGAACAAGGTAGTTCCAGATCATGACAAGAGCTATAAAGACAGTAAAACTGTGATGTGACAGCGAATGAGGTTGGAGGGGAAATTGAAATTGCAGAGCAAGATGTGACAGTGAGTAAGATTGCAGAGCTTGGGTGATCAGGGAAGGCTTCTTGGAGGAGGTGGTGTTTGAGCTGGTATTTGAGCTGGTATTTATTCAGAGCAGAAGAAACAGAAAGCATAAAGGCTGGACTTAGGACTGAAATGAGCTTGGTGGGTTGAAGGAGAGAAGGAGGCCTGGAGCTTGGTGAGGGAAGGAGGGGAGGACAGCAGTCAGCACAACCCTGCCTTCCTCTCAGGTAGGGATGCTCAGAGTTGGGAGACCTTTTGGGGGTTCTGGGGCCAGTACTCACCAGCCATGTAATTGGGGCAACATACTTCTTGCTGGGCCCCACTTTTCTCATCTGTTCAACGGGATACATCACTTGCCTCACCTGGCAAGAATTAAGTGAAACAAAATACATGTGGAACTGAGTGAATAGTACGTTGTGCTACCCAAGCCAGTGTGACATTAAATGTGGTCCATGGGCCAGCAGCATCAGCTTAACCAGGAGCTGGTTAGAAGAGCAGATTCTCGGGCCCACCCCAGACCTCCTGATTCAGACATTCTGAGAGCAGGGCCCAGGACTCTGCATGGTTACCAGCTTCCCATGTGATTCTGACACTCAAGAAAGTTTGAGAACCACTGCTAAACCATTCTTTACCGTGCAGTACTGTCCGGGGTTCTGCTGGCTTTTCATCCTTCAATTCAGCAAATATCTCTGTATGATTATACTCCCACTGATTTCCAGAAAGGATTTAAGGTATTTTTCCATAAAAGATGTGTTTTGCCATTAAAGTAAAATAAAATTAGAAGTTAAAAATCATCAGATGCAAAATGCAATGTGGTGCCTTGGGTTAGATTCTGGAATAGAAAAAGGACATTAATGGCACAACTAGTGAAATCTAAATAAAGTCTGTAATAGTAACCTACCATTTTTGTAAGACGTTAGCAACATAGGAAACTGGGCAGGGGCATGCGGCAACTCTCTGCACTCTCTTCGCAACTTTCCTGTATATCTAAAATTATTCCAGAAGAGTTCATTGATAATAATGAGTCACTAAATGAAGGAATCAAATGTCCCAAACCCTAGGCCAGTATTGAACTGCGACCGAGTAATGAACAAGCAGAGTGGTCCTTTGTAGAGACGGAGCCGGCTGGGTCTCTGTACAAGAGGAGTCATCAGAGAATGGACAGTGTCCTCAGCAGTAGTTTTACAGAAGATTGGAATATAGAAGCATTTTTGGTGTGGTTGTTTCTTTTATCAGCCCCCTAATAAAAGCGAACAGCACAGCAAGGAGACAACAAGCAGAGAAGATGAAGGCTTCAGTCAGTGTCACGAACATCACCTTGCTTACCCTATGTTGTAAAAATGGGCAAGGTGAGGTACAAATCCATACTTCTGGCATCTTGGAAGGGCTGGCATCAATAGACTTAACTCCCACATGAACAGTGCTGGTGAGCCCCAGCCACTGCGTCTGGATGTTTAGACATTTGGACATGGCACGATTCTCTAGTTTGCTGGGTCCACTTCCTATCACTGCACCTGCCTTGGTCAGGTTTATGATACCATCTGGCTTCCATTGGCATTTGAGTTGCCAACGCTCCGGTTTAATAAGCTCCTGGGGTCTAGCATGTCGGCTTAATGAATGTGTGTTCAGCACTTTCTGGGTGTTAGTTACTATGGGGAAGAGAGAAAAGTGAACTGTTTTCTTTAACTTCCTCCCAAGAGTTCCTAGCTGGTTTTATTTATTCTGAAGCTAGGGCAAACCATTCTTACCCTGATTTTTAAGAGGTGGAAACTTACTTGGAGGGAGCCCTAGTAGGAGTCCTGCTGCACCCCCCTGTGAATCGGCAGAAGTAGGGATCAGACCCACAAAATGTTAGATGTTTGAAAAAGAATCAAATGAATCTCCCAGAAACAGACTATATAATCGCTGAAACTCAAAATAGGCATGTTAAACAGGTTTTAGATGCAGCTGGATATAAAAGGAATTATCCAGCATGTAGCATAGAGAGACAAAGATAGAAAATTTGAAAGAGAGGTTAAGAGACATGGAAGATAGTGTGAAAAGGTCTAATGTGCATAAACTGAAGTTCCAAGGGGAAAGGAGAGGGAATATTACACAAGATAATGTCTGAGAATTTCCTTGGACTGATTAAAGACCCAATTTATAAATCTATCAAGTTAAAAATTCAGGGGAGAGAGGGAAACAAGTAGAAAGTAGGAGGAAAATCACAAATGTAAGAGCTGACACAAATGAACTGAAAAGAGAAGACCAAAAGTAGATTAATTAAAAAGCTATGGGGGCGGCTGGTTAGCTCAGTTGGTTAGAGCGCCATGCTCACAACACCAAGGTTGCTGGTTCAATTCTCACATGGGCCGCTGAGCTGCGCCCTCCACAACTAGATTGAAACAATTCCTTGACTGGGAGCTGATGGGTCCTGGAAAAACACACTGTTCCCCAGTAGGAAAAAAAAGCTAATAAAATTGAGAGACATTTGACAAGATTTGTCAAGAAAAAGAGCGAAGGCACAAATAAGAGGAGAAATTTAAAAGGGCACATACTGGGCCGGCCGAGTGGCGCGTTGGTTAACAGCTGGCTTGGGATGCCAGAGGGCCCCGGTTCGGATCCCACATATGAGGGCCAGTGACACTGCCCTCTACAGCTGAGATGCTGAACAACAGCTCAACCTGGAGCTGGGCTGCCGTGAGTCGCTGGCGACTGCGTAGGCTGCAACCCCTGCTGCAGTGGGTTGCCACGGGCTACCGTGTGTAGCCAGCAGCCAGCGCGAGCGGCCAGCAGCCGCCAGTGAGCGGCCGTCCAGAAGCCGGCAACTGATCTGCCTCTCCCAGGAAGAGCGCAATGATGGTGCCAACTTGGGCCAGTGAAGCAACGTCCTCCACAACTAGACTGAAGAACAAAAGGACAACAACTTGTCTGTTCCCTTCCCTCAATTCCCCAGCGTTGTTCCCATCCCCCAATTCCTCAATAAAAATCTTTAAAAAAATAATAAAAATTAAAAAAAAATAAAAGGGCACATACTGCAAATATAGCAGAAATTTATGGCAATAAAATTTATAACTTAGGTGAAATGACAAATTCTAGAAAAATATAACTTATTAAAATAACTCATGAATAGATAGCTTGAATAGTCTTATAATCATTATAGAAATTAAATCAGTGGTCTAAAATCTTCATACAAAAAATTCTAAGCCTACAGCGTTTTATAGGTAAATCCTACCAAATATTTAAGTAATAGATGGCATCGATTTTACTTACATTCTTCCAAATAATAGAAAAAGAGAGTTTCCCACCTCATTTTATGATGCTAGTTTGACCTTGACACCAAAATCAAAGATAGTTCAAGAAAGGAAAGCGTAAATGCCAAAATTCTAAACAAAATTTGCTCAAGTTTGGCAGACCAAATCCAGAAAATACCAACTTGGGTTTATCCCAGAAATGCAAGGTTTATTTACTATTAGAAAATATATTTATGAAAATCACTCTATTAACAGATTAAAGAAGAAAAACCATGATCAACTCAATAGATTTAGAAAAAGCTCTTGAAAGTCATTTATACCCACTTATGATAAAAAAAATCCTCTTAGAAAACTCAAAGTTGAAAAGAATTTTCTTAACTGATAGTGTTTCAAAAAATGGAAATAAAATAAATGTCTCATCTGTTGAAATACTAAAACATTCCCCTTACAGTCAGGAAGAGGACAGAAATGCTCCCTAGTTCCACTTCTGATCAACAATGTACTGAAGGTCCTAGGTTTTGGAAGGAAACAAGAAAAATAAATGAAAGTTTAGGCGTTAGAGAGGAAGAAACAAAACTCGGCGTTTTGCAGATGATATGACTGTCTATGTAGGCAAGCCAAGAGAACCCACAGAGAAATTATTGAAATTAATAAAAGAGTTCAGCAAGGTTGAATAAAATCCCAAGAGGGTTTTTCATGGAACTTGACAAGCTGATTGTAAAATTTAGATGGAAGCATAAAGGACCATGAGTAACAGCCAAGACATTTCTGAAGCTGAACCGTCCAGGGGACTTACTCTGCCAGATACCAAAATTCTAAGATTATTGAGTTCAGTGTGACTCTGGGCAGCAATAGACAAGTTGACCAGTCGAACGGAGCCAAGAACTGGGTATTGACTGTTTGGTATATGACAGAGGGCATTGCAGCTCACTGGAGAAAGGAGGGACCGTTTAATAAGTGGTGCTGGCACAGTAGGTTATCCTTATGGAGAAACAAATTGGATTTCTACCTTATACTGTAGACAGAATCAATCCCAGAGAGATGAAAAGCTTAAATGTGAAAGGCAAAGTTTTAAACTGAGGGAATATCGTTATGACCTCAGGGTGAAGGAAAATTGCTCCAAACACGAGAAGCACAAGCTATCAAGGAAATGATTGGTCCCTTTAACTACATTAAAAATAACATTTATTCATCACAAGTTACCATAAAGAGGTGAGAAGACAATTCTTAAATTCGGGGAGGGTATTTGCCACATATATGTTAACAAAGGTTAGCATCTAAACATATATAAAGAACTTAAAAAAAAAAGTGAAGACAACCCAATGGAAAAATAAGCAAAATTCATGAACAGAAAATGAAAATGGGAAGCTCACTGACTTATGGGAAGATGTTCAACCTCATTAGTAATTAGGGAAGCACAAGTCAAACTACATGAGTTTACCCCACCCCACCCCCGGCTGGCAAAAATGAAAAAGTGCCAGCACCAGCCTGGTATGCTGAGCAGTGAGGACTGCTGCCGCTGCTTCTGGGAGTGGAAGTTAGTACAGCTTCGGAGAACAACATGGGTATTGCCATTTAAGGTCACACAGTCTTCCGACCTCCAGACCATCAATTCTGCTGGTGAAACCTGCATCTGATCATCATAAAAGGACGTCCATATTAGTCCTGAGGGGCCAAAAGCACAAGTTACACACCTACAGTAAAAGAGGTTAAATTGCGGTGTGTTTAGAAGTGGGGTACCATACAGTAGGGAGAAGGGTGAGCTATGGCTGCATGCACGAATGCAGATGGATCTCAAACATAGCAGAAAAAGCAAATCACAGAACACGGGCAAAAATGGACAGAATGCTTGAGAGTAAAACTCAGGGAAAACAAGGGAATAAAAGCACAGAAGGAAGGACTGTTTCCTCAGATCGGGAGGCCACAGGGTGCAGCCAAGGAGGGGTCATTGGACTAACACTTAACCTGGGTGGTGCTTGTATGAGTGTCTTACTATTTTTTATAACATATATACTAGATATTGTGTGTGAATTATTTTATTAAAAAAAAAAAAGTGGGTGATGGTAATGCGGTAATGCTTTCCGTGTCCACAGCTCAAATGAGAAACATTAGCTTCATTTTAACGGGCACTTAACTATGAGCTAAGTAAGCACTTGATCTGCGGTTCTCACGTATTCAGCACGGCAACACTGTGAGAGCGGATACGGTCCAGGGCTGGGCACCATCAGCTGTGGCCCTGGCAGAGCCCTGGGGGGAGATACAGGGTGGGCACCCATCTAGGCAGTGACCCAATCTGCCTTCCCACAGGTGCTAAAGTCCACGGGGGATGTGGCTGGCGGCCGGGCCCTGTACGAGGGGTATGCGGCGGTCACTGATGTGCCCCCCGAGTGTTTCCTCACCCTCAGGGACACCGTGCTGCTCCGCAAGGAATCTCGGAAGCTCATCGTTCAGCCCAACACTCGACTCGAAGGTAATGGACTCCTGAGCCTGTTTTGGGGTGCCTTGCAGCCCTTTGGGAGCACAAAGGAGGCCTGGAACTGACTGGGAGCTCAGGGAGGGCTACCTGGGGTGAGCCTGCTTCTCTCCCTGCCACGGTCCTCCCCATGCCAAACCTCAGACCAAAACCCTGGCACCTACCAGCACCATCACCACCACCACACATACAGGGTCACGTTGGTTGTAAGATGGCAACAGAAGGTTTGAGAAAGGCGAGCAGAGCAGGGGCTAGTGGAACAGGCAGACCCCAGGTGCTGGAGAATCAGACCTCGCCCGGGAGCAAGGTCAGGTCAGGCAGTGAGTTGGGACCCAGCAGGCCAAGTGGAACCCAGGCGACAATGTGACTCGGCAGAGCTCAGGACAGACATCAGGAGCCCTGTGGTCTCTCTCCCTTCTCAAGGGATGATTCTGTTCTCAGAAGCCCTGACCCTGTCTACATGGCACTTGGACTTTTTGTATGAAAAGCCCTTGACTCGTCTTTTCCAACATCTGTCCCATGAGACAGTGCCAATCAGTAGTTAGAGCGTGAGCTTCAGAACTGATCTGTGACCTTGGCCTAGTCACTTGAACTTTCTGGGTTTGGGTTTATTCATAAAGCCAGCATTAATGGTGTGCTGACACTATAGCGAACCTGAAGATCACACCCACCTTCGAGGGAATCAGGGAAGGTTTTGAGGAGGAAGTGGTAGTTAAAAGAGGCCTGAAGGACAGGTAGTGGCGGTCCTTCTGGAAGGTGCTGATAGCTAACTTCTGAGGACTTCATATGCCAGGCACTGGGTAATCCATGGATTAACTCTCAGCCATTCAATGAGGAAGTTATCTCCTTTTTTTTTTAAATTGGGGAATTGGGGGAGGGGAACAGCATTGGGGAATCAAGGAAGGGGAACAGACCTTCAGTCTGGTTGTGGAGGATGTTGCTTCACTGGCCCATGTTGGTATTATGATCAATGCGCTCTTCCCTGCTGAGGCAGATTGGTCACTGGCCATTGGACAGCCGCTCATGGCAGCTCACGGCAGCTCACTCCGTCGTGGGAGACTCATAGCAGTCCAGCTCCAGGTCGAGCTGTTGTTCACCATCTTAGCTGTAGAGGGCACAGTGTTACTGGCCCATGTGGGATCCGAACTGGCGGCCCTGCTGCTCAGAGCTCGCGCTCCCAAGCCATCTCTTAACCAACGAGCCACTTGGCTGGCCCATGTTATCTCCATTTTTCGCCTGGAAACTGAGACACAGAGGGGCTGTGTATTTGCCTGAGGTCACACAGCTAGTGGGCGGCAGAACCAGAATTTGAACTTGTGCCATCTGAACCCAGAGCCTGTGCTCTGAGCTGTGTACACCCCACGATACCAGAGAGTACACCAAGGCTGGTGGGTGGGTAGAGCAGTGAAAGTGTGCTAGAGGGAAGTGCTTCCCAGGGGGACCCTCGGAACAGCCCCATTTAACAGATGAGTAAATAGGCTCAGAGATAGTGCTGCTGATGGTGGCTAGCACTTGTTGAGCACTTCCTCAATGCGTTGTTGTATTTAATTACCACAGCTTCTTGAAAGAAGAGGTACTGTGCTCATCCCCATTTTACAGATGAGGAAACTGAGACTTAGAGAACTTAAGAAACTTGCCCAAATTCTCACAGTAGACAGAGATGAAGCAACTGCTGAACTGGAAGGTCCTGGAGGCCAAGGACTGTGTCTGATTCACCTAGCATGGCACCTGCTGTAAACCTTTATTAAGTGAATGAACAAATGAATCCAGCAATTCACTAAGCATTCCTCCTTTAATATTTTCTTCCTCACTGGGTTATTGTAAGGATTAAATTAGATAATACACCTAAAACACTGAGCACAATTTTAGGCACATGGTAACTCAGGAAGAACTAGCCGCTCCCATGATGATTCTGCTCCCCTATGAAGACCTTTTCCTGCAGCTGTTTTCTCTCCATCTGTTTCCCAGGCTCAGAAGTACAGCTTCTTGAATACGAAGCCTCAGCTGCTGGCCTCATCCGATCCTTCTCCGAGCGCTTCCCAGAGGATGGGCCAGAGTTGGAGGAGGTCCTCACCCAGTTGGCCACAGCTGATGCCCGGTTCTGGAAGTGCCCCAGTGAGGCCCCATCTGGCCAGGCTTGAAGCAGATTTGTGCAGCCCCTTCCCCTACTACATCAAACCGAGGCTGCCAGTAGCCCCCTTTTTGTGAGTGTATTAGGGGTGAGGGGTGGGGCAGGATCTCAGGCCTTGGTGCTACCTCAGCCGAGGGTGGTGACACTAACCCCTTCCATCTGTTAGCACTTTCCAGTTTACCAAGTGCTTCCCCTGTGTTATCTTATTTGATCTGTGCTGCCCTCTGTAGAGTGGGCAAGGCAGGGCGCCTTACCCTGCTTCCCAGATAAGGAAATGGAAGTTCTGAGAAGTGACCGGTCTAGATCCTGCAGGACTCAAAACCTCTCCCAGTACAATACTCTTCATGTTTTGCTTTTATAACCAGAAAAATAAATATTAGAAACAACCACCATCTTTGGAGTTCGTGCGATTCTTCCTTGTCTTTGCCTCGCTTCTCTTTTGCTTCTGGGAGGTTAGTGGGATCAAAGTCTGGGGAGCGGGATCATTTTTAGGCTACCATCCACGACAGGATTTTGACATCACCTCTAAGTGAGGATAGGAATAGTTACTAAGATGAGCACTGCACAGTTTGTATCCTTTTTTGTGGCATTTCTTGTATTTTAAAAAATTCTGGGACCTAAAAAGTGGAAACCCTCAACTTCCATCAGGAGCCTAGGATTTAATCTCTTAAGCCTTGTGGATTTTTTTCTTTTTGTTTTCTTTTTGTCGTGTTTTGTTTTTGAGCCTGGACCTCTACTGTGAGGCAGGAAGAAAGGACATGATCCCTTTTCAACCTGAAGGGGGGACAAGGTACTTTTGCTGCTCCTAAACACTGGAAGGGCTCGCTTCTCCAGGCCTGGAAACCAGAGGGCCTGCCACTGACCCAAAGATTACAGGGGCCAAATGCTCCGGCTGGGAAAGAGCAAAAATCAATCATGTGAGCTGGGATGAGGGATTGCATTTCAGCAGGCAGAAATTCAGCAAAGAAACCACCACGCTGTGCATGCCTGCTGCGCTCCAGGAACCTTTGTGCGCGCGCTTCCCGGAGCCCGGTTGCTTTTAGGAGTTGCACGGCCGCTGCAAGGGCCGGTTGCCAGGGCGACGCCTGCGAAGATGGCTGCTGCGTCCTCATCGGATTCCGACAGCTGCAGAGCTGAGAGGTAAAGACGAGTCCTCGAGGACTCCTTCCCTATAAATGTGGCGAGTGTGCCCTGGCCCCTGGGATCTGGGCTCCTGGGGTTCTCGAACAGCGCAGGGTTTCCTTGAAGGGCTCTTAGGGATCAAATAGGGAAACTGAGGCCCAAGGAGTAAGTGTATGTGTGACTCGAGGTCACCCAGGACTTGGACTCAGACGTTCTGTACCCCCCGTTCAGAGTTCCCCACCCCCCTCAGCCTCATAGACCAGCTCCCTCAAAGTTTTCTCCCCCTCCCTTTGTACTCACTCCCCAACTCTCGCTCCTCTCCCAGCAATGAGGCCAATTCGAAATGGCTGGATGCGCACTACGACCCCCTGGCCAACATCCACACCTTTTCTGCCTGCCTGGGTGAGTCTCTGGGACCAGGAATCCCGGGTTCTGGGGAGAAGGAGTCAGGTAATGGTTCTGCAGTGAAGCCTCTAGGATTCTGAGGCCTCGGCTTACGCTCCTGTTGTGTTTTCCAGCACTGGCAGATTTGCATGGGGACGGGGAGTACAAGGTAAGCAGATCATCGCAGCAGAAAGAGAATTAGGAGGGAAACACCAGAAGTGAGATTTTTCTGATGGTTCCAAAGAAGCTCAGCGTAATCTGGAACTCATGTGTACTCTGAAAAAGCACATTTAGTGTTAAATTTCATTTTTATGTGCAAGGTGAAGAGAACCTATTGATTTCATAACACAGGCGGCAGAAAGTAAAGCTGAACAAAACGCTGCTGGGGATTTTACTAAGACAAAGCCTCTTAATTTTGTTAACTTGACATAATTCGTCGCCGGAAGGGCCCATTCCTTGGTTGGGGGAGGGGGGGGTTAGAATCTGGAGGGGAAGTAGAAGGGAGGGATTTGAGCTTTATGTTTATCAAAAGGACATAGGTTTTAAGATTAGCCACGATCTGATCATTGTTGAAGCTGGATGATGGGAATTGGGGGGTTCATTATACGAGTCTCCCTACTTTTGTATATGACTGAAATTTTTTCATAATAAAAAGATTAAATTTTAATATAAAGATAGGTAAAATGTAAATAAAGAAATAAATAACAATTTTACATTTTTGAAAGGTTGAGAAATATATGGGGCTTAAGAAAGGAGCTTAATGTATATTGAGTATCCATTTCTGGACTAGATCCTCTTCGAGGCATTTTCACATACACGGTTAATATTGATCCCCATTTTGTTAATGGAAAAATAGATTCAGAGAGGCTAAGTTTACTGAGTTTGTAAAAAGTGGCAGACCTGAGTCTGTCAGATTCCAAGTTATGTGTTTGTTCCACTATAGCCAGCCCTCGCCATGGGCAGTGAACCCACAGTGAGCATACTAGGTGGGTAGCTAGAACACAGCCCTGAATCATACCCTACATAGATTGTGCAGTAGGATTCAGTGCCTTTTGCCACCAAACTCTTATCCGTAAAGCATTTGGCAATTTGACAAGCATACAGTAAACCCCTCCTTTGTGTCAGGCATTGTGCAGACACTAAACGCATAAATGAATCCATACACAGTTGGGAGGAGATGTAGACACTGCCCTTAATTCACCCATGATATTGACTGAACACCTAGTATGTGCTTGGCATTGGGTTTATAGCAGTAAAGGGTAGAGAAGTCACAGACCCAATAACTCATGTGAAATGTCAGATGCTTTCGTATAGTAACTTTTTTAATGGCCAGCTTGTTTACTGTTGATTCCAGCATCTAGTGCCAGTACCTGGCACAAATTAGGTACTTGATAAATATTTGTGGAGTGGATTCTAAAATAGAATATATGCAAAGTATTATGGGAGCACCAGTGAGAGAATAATGAAATCTGTCTGGAGGCACCAGGAGGCAGTAACATGTGAACTAAGTGTTGAAGGATGAATGAAGTGTTTCAAGAAGGCACGGAACAGGAGGGAGAAGGCATTCCATGCAGAGGGAACAGCACACGTGGAGGCACACAGAAGCTTGGACGTTCACAGCATATTTGGAAAGAGTAAATTTGGAGTTAGAAAGTTGAGGCTAATGTAACAGCACTGGCTTTGGATTCAGACAGACCTAGGCTCCAATCTCAGCTGTACCGCTTACTAGCTGTCTGACTTTTATCTAACATTGCAAAGCCACAGCTTCCTCATTTGTGAAATGTGGCTGATAATACCTACCTCACAGGTTGTTGAGAGGATTAAATGAACGTTTCTGGTGTGGCTCCTGGCACACTGTGTACATGCTCAGAATCCAGCCATGCTGTGGGGCAGCCCCCATTCTGGCTGGGAAGGTGATAGGAGACAAGCTGGGAACCAGGTCAGAGGGGCCTTGAAGACCTCACTCAGGAGACTGGGCTTGCATGGCAGCCACAGCGGCTTGGAGGATGGAAAACGGAGACTGAAGAGCTTGGTTCTCTTCTCTGCAGCTGCAGAGCGTACCCTGCTCTGCATGCTCGCTTCTGCCTCCTTAGCTCTGTTCCCATTCGGAAGCCAGGACTCAGAAGCCCAGATAGGAGTTTTCAGTGCCCCACTGACCTCAGCCACTGTCCCAGTGTCTAGAATGGTGCCTGGCCTGGAGCAGGCCCCTGAAATGTTTACCTAATGAATAATGAAAACATCAGCTGCCACCTACTCCTCACTAGCACTCACCAGGTTCTGTATTCGTTATCTCATTTGATTTTCACTACAAGTGTCATGAAGTAGATGTTCCCGTTTTGCTGAGGCTCAGGAATTTTAATCAACTTTCCCAAGGTCACAGAGCTTGGAAACTTCATTTGAAAGCCTTTGTCATCATCCCTCCCCCGACTCCCCCCCCCCCGCCATGGTACACTGGTGTGGTGTCAATGAATGTGCACCCGCAAAAAGGCTGAACCCGAAAGGGTCAGTAGAGGGGTCTTTAGACCTGAACTTGGAATGAACAAGCCTCTTTCTACAGCTGGTGGTGGGGGACCTTGGCCCAGGTGGGCAGCAGCCCCGCCTGAAGGTACTCAAAGGACCCACAGTGCTGACCGAAAGCCCGCTACCTGCACTGCCAGCTGCGGCTGCCACCTTTCTCATGGATCAACACGAGCCCCGGACACCAGCTCTGGCACTCGCCTCAGGCCCTTGTGTGTATGTTTATAAGAATCTTAGGCCCTACTTCAAGTTCAGCCTGCCCCAGTTGCCTCCCAACCCCCTGGAACAAGATCTTTGGAACCAGGCCAAGGAGGTAAGTCATGTGGGCAAGAAGGCAAAGATGGCAGGCATGGGCCATCCATTCTCTGCCTGGCTCTGGAGCTCACAGCCTCTACCTTCTTCCCATGCTGTCAGGATCGGATCGACCCCTTGACCCTTAAGGAGATGTTGGAGGGCATCCGGTGAGAGCCCACCTTCCCCTTCATGTGCCTCCCACCCCTCCCTCGCTCCCCCAGCCCCACTGTTTCATCCCAGAGCTCTTAGTCTGACCCCCTGTTCCTCAACTAAACTTGCCATGATTGCTCCTCTCCTTGCAGGGAGAAGGCAGAGGTGCCTTTGTCTGTACAGTCGCTCAGGTAAGGGCCCTCTGGAGGGCTGGGGCTCTGGAAGCTCTGGGGGGAAGGGAGTGTCTGTGGAGTGGCCCAGGGCATGCAGATGCCAGTTCTCTCTGTGTCCAGGTTTCTGCAACTGGAGCTAAGTGAAATGGAGGCTTTTGTGAACCAGCACAAGTCCAAGGCCATCAGACGTCAGGTAATACCCCTTCTCTTTTTATTTCCCTATTAAAAAAATATGGATAATTTTTTAAAAACCGTGTAACATGAATGGTAAATTTTATTGGGGGGTTGGAAAAGTCATGACGTATTTTTTCTATGTTTTTCGTTGCAAAAATGCATCGTGACTTTTCCGACAACCCAATACAACTAAACCTGACTAGTTTCACGTTGCAGTTTCCCTGCCAACCCATGCCACATATATATGGTCACAGCTGTAGGACTTTCTCCATTTCCTGTGGACAGTGACAGCTTTGAATTGCTCTATGGTTAAAGAACTTCATAGAACTTTTATTGTCTTGAGGGTAAAGGAAATACATTCTTATCAGAGAAAATTTGGAAAATAAAGAGAAGTATAAAGGAGAAATATAAATGACTATAATCTCACTACCCAGATACTCTTATACTCGCTCTTAGCATTTTGGTACATTTCCTTCATAAATACGCTTTTATATCTGGCTTCCCTTGAGTACATAACATTATATCTCGAGCATTAGACAGTCTTTAAGAACTCCATTTTCAGTGGCCCCTTGATTATTTCATTTGTTATTCATAATTTCACTTATGGTATATGTAACCATTCACATTCGCAGGTCATTGGAGAAGAAATGTATCCCTTTTATTCACTGCATTTTCTTTTCTTAGTTATAATTTTAATTGCTTTATTGATTAATCTATTCAAGGATGAGCTCTAGTAGTCCCTGACCTAGGGACTGACCCTCAGTCCAGGGACGGACTCCCAGAGCTATTCTCTGCATTTTAGAAAGCCTCACGGGAACCATCCACTTTCTGTAGAGGCCTCTTGAGCCAAGCACATTGACCAACACGTGCCTCAGCTCTGGCTAGTCTTAGACTAGTTCTGTGAGAAACATTGTTCTCTCCTGCTGATCAGCAGCTCAGATCCACAGCTGTCCATATCTCTGAGTACTTTGAAAATCGGAAAGTGAATTAATTACTGCTTAAAAGATTCAGTTTGGGGGGCGGGGACAGTCTTTCCCAGCCTATGTCTTCGTTACATGATTGGGAGCCACTAACTTCCATGCTTCTGTCACCTTTCTCGTTCCACTAGGCATTGAGAATGACTTCTCTCTTTTAATCTTAAAGATAATCACACAGTGAATGACTTTATCCAAAGAAACATTTTTGGTCCTGCTCATTATTTCCATAGGAGAAATTTCTAAAAAGGGGATCATTGCTTTTCTTTTGTTTTCTCTCCAATCAAAATTACAAAAGGAACATGTGCCCCCTGTAGAAATGATAGAAAAGCACAATGAAGAAATTAAACATCGCCTGTGATCTCGTTGTTCAGCGGAGATAACTGGTGTTTGTGTTTAAGGGTTTAGCCTTTCATCGTGTTTTTCTATTCACGTGTTTTTTAAATTGGGATTATACTAACATCACTTTTTGCCTACTTTTTTCTTGTAATGCATTAGAAGCATTCTCCCTCTCATTGAATCTCCTTTTACAATGTGATTTTTTAAATGACTGCCTGGTTTAGGATCATATGGATAGTTCATAATTGATTTAGTCCTCTTCTGTTAGAAAGTTAGGTTGGTCGCAATAAACACCTTTGTACATAAATCTCTGTTGCCTCTCTGATACTCTTCCTCCTCCTCTGCCTTCTCTTTTCCCTCCTGGGACTTCCTGGGAGTGTCTGGGGCGGAGTGGTGTGTGGGGACCCCCTGGGTAACCCCTGGAGTCCTCCCACAGACAGTCATCACCACCATGAGCACCTTAAAGAAGAGCCTGGCTGAGGAGGACGCCGTGTCCTGCCTGGTGCTGGGCACTGAGAGCAAGGAGCTCCTGGTGCTGGACTCCGAGGCCTTCACCATCTTGGCCAAGGTCAGTGTGGGGCCTGACCCTGGGCACCCTGAGGCCCAGCCTGCATTCCCTCCCTCTGTTCCCCCGCACCTCCTGCGCCCAGTTAGTTCTTGGCAACACGTGTTCATTGTAGAAACACAATAAAATGTAGCTAAGCATAAAGAAAAAGATATACATCCCCAAATCCCACCACCCACAGATATCTACTATTAAAGTTTTAGTACATGTCTTTCCAGACATTTTCATACTTAGACACAGCTATATAACTATACACACACACACACACACACACACACACACACACACACACACGTATATAGATAGATACATAGATTTATTTATTTATTTATTTTTTAATGGCCCAGTGGCATAGGATCATGTCACCTGCTCTTTTCACGTAGCAGTAGCTTATTAATGCCTTCCCATTTCTATATAAAATCACATCCGGGGCCGGCTGAGTGGCTCAGTTGGTTAAGAGCTCGCTCAAGAGTTTGAGCTCTGAGCAACAGTGGTTCGAGTCAGCCCGAGCTGAGCAGCCGCTGAGCTGCCAACAGGTGGCAGGATGGCTCAGCTAAAAAAATAAATAAATAAAAATAAAAATAAAAATAAAATCACATCCGCCTTTTCAGAGGCCACACAATATCCATTATACAGCTGTACCATAATTTAATATCCATTATACAGCTGTACCATAATTTATGTGCCTATTGTATGTTTAAGTTATTTTCAGTTTTTCACTATTATTAACACCACTGCAGTAGGCTTCTTTGTCCAAACATCTTTGCATGCTTGTCCCAATATTTCCTTAGGATGCATTCCTAGATGTGGCATAGTTTAGTCAAAGGGTATAGACTTAAAGGCTTTTGCTACATGTTGCCGAGTTTCCCTCCAGAAAAACGGTAGGAGTTTAAACTGTGACCAACAGGGTAAGAGTGAGGAGGTTGGGACTTCAGACAAGGAACCAACTGAGAGGAGTAGGTTCCTCCAGGGTAGGGAAGGCCTGGGGCTCTGGAGAAATCGGGGTGTTTGGCCTCTTCTTTGCAGATGAGCCTCCCCAGCGTTCCCGTCTTCCTGGAGGTTTCTGGCCAGTTCGATGTAGAGTTCCGGCTCGCCGCTGCCTGCCGCAATGGGAACATCTATGTCCTGAGAAGGTAGCCATATCTGTGGTCTCTGGGGCCAGAAGGAACATCTCAGATGCCTGGTGGTTTCAGGGCTTGAACAGGGGTTTGGGGCTTTAATTTAGGAATGGATGGAGTGGAGAAGTTCATATAGGAGACTAAGCCCACGAGCATAGGGGGCTATCTGGAGGCTTGTGTGATGGGGGCTGGCAAAGTGAGGGACTGGGCTGGGGGGCTGTAGCACATGGGCGGTGCAATCAGAAATGGGAAGAAATAAAAATAGTCTCTCCTATGTGTTATATTGCCATACAGGTCTGTGACACTTTCTAGTTTGATATTCCTTATAGCATTCACGTTTTAATTTAAGAAATGTTTTTGCGCACCTATTGTATAAAGTATTGGGGCTATATTGATGAACAAAAGAAACATAGCCCTGCCCTCATGGGAGGACAGATATTAGAGTCAACAAACCAAGATAATACTGCACGTTGGATGTGTGCAATAGAGGAAAAATAATGGCATCAGGGTGATCAGCAAATGCCTGTTTGTAGAGATGACTTGAAAGTGAAGAAGGAGCCAGTTATTCAAAAAGTGGAGAAAGAGTGTTGTAGGCAGAAGGCACTTAAGCAAACTCAGCGTGGGAAAGACATTGGCCTGTGCTGCCCGAGCATGGTGGGCAAGGAAGAGGGTGAAAAGAGGGGACGTGGAAACCGGGCTGGCTCACACAGGACCTGTTAGGACACAGTAAAGATTTTGGGTTTTATCTGAAGTGCAGTCGGAAACTGCTATGGGATTTTAATCAGAAGAATGACATGATCCATTTACATTTTTAAAAGATTACTCTGCTGGGTGGAGTGTAGACTGGAAGGAGGCCCAGAGACCAGTGTGAGGCTCTCAGCTGGGTCATCAGGTGGGATATGATGTTGGTGATGAAGAAAAGCGAGCCAGAGCCCGTGACTGGTAGGCAGGAACTACCCCTACTCTCTGGATAAGAGAATCAGAAACCAGGAAACTGACACAGTGCATTTACACGGAGCAAACTCCTCATGCTTCCTGATAAGTTACGAAACTGCCTAAATCCACTTGGTCTGGCCTAAGGTACACTCACTGAAAACTGTTAAATGCCAGATTACCATACGGATCACTATAGGAAAGGCAGGAGGGAGACCAGGAAGGGGAACACACTTCATGTTACCCAAGGTCACGCAGCTACCAAGTGGTACAGATGGAAATAATACCATGTCATCTGCTTTGGGGCCAGGGTTCCTTCCAGGATAGTCTGTGGGGCTTAGAAAGAGGAGGATCAGCCAGGGAAGGAGAGAAAGTTTCTCAGGGGCTGGGAGAGTGTGCCTTTATTTCACAGAGACTCCAAGCGCCCCAAGTATTGCATCGAGCTGAGTGCCCAGCCCGTGGGGCTTGTCCGGGTACACAAGGTCCTGGTGGTGGGCAGCACCCAAGACAGCCTGCATGGCTTCACCCACAAGGTGTGGCCTCCCAGCAAGCACCGCCCCCAGCCCCTCCTTGCATGTCTCCCCAGTCCCCCAAAGCAGGCGGGCCCTTCTGATGTCCCCTTCTCAGCAACTCCAGCCAACCTTTCTTTCCACTCTAAGCTCCGATTCCCCTACAGACACTTGGCTATTCCCTCCCAGGGTAAGAGGCTGTGGACAGTGCAGATGCCAGCAGCCATCCTGACCATGAACCTCCTGGAGCAGTGCTCCCGGGGCCTGCAGGCCGTCATGGCCGGGCTGGCCAATAGAGAGGTCCGCATTTACCACGACAAGACCCTGCTCAACGTCATCCGCACCCCGGTGAGCCGCTGACTCCGTGCCCCACTCCCACCTCTGGGGCTGCTTAGCTGCCTGCCAATCCCACTCCATCCGCCGCCCTTGACTTTTGATGCATTTCAGAAATATTTGTTGAGCACCTTATATGCACAACTCACTGTATTGGGGGGGATAAAACAGTGACTCAATCCTCGACTTCAGGGATGTTACTATCTAAGGTGACAGCTAGCCAGAGACACAGCTAATTTAAACACAGGCAGACCGAAGCAGAGCAAAATGCTGAAAAAGCACAGAGCAGACTGAATGACGGGGCAGTGGTGAAGGACGAATGGGGATGGAACTCACGAGTTATTTCACAGTGCAAGTGACGATGCAGCTGGGCCTAAAGGCAGTTTGCCAAGTCGATAAATGAAGGAAGAGCACTGCAGACCAGCAAGAGTATGAACACAGGCTGAGAGGCACGAGTGTTCCCAATTAAGGAATCCAGATAGCTCTATGAGTTTGGACAGAGTTTTTCAAAGACTAAGTTGTAAGTCATCAAATGAGCCACAACCAGCAACATTAAAAAAGAAAGTTCAGAGTATATCATGTGTGACACTTTTATGTGTATGTGTGGATAAAATGTCCTGTGTCACAATAGAAAATGGAAAGGCAACTGGTTTGGACCGCAGGCTGCTGGGAGGGCAGGCAGCGTGCGGCTTGGGGGAAGGGGAAGGAGGAGAGAACTGGTGGGACAGGCAGGCTGGACAGTCAGATGTGGAAGCCTTAAATGTCCTGACAAGGAGGACAGAGGCAGTGGAGGTTCTCTAGAAGAGAACACACATGATGTGCTTGCGTTTTTGAGAGGCAGCGATGTGAAGGACAGGCTGGGGAGAAAGACTAGGCTGGGAGGCCTGTTAGGAAGCTGACCCCAAAAGCCCAGTGATGTTTAGTCTGGAACTATGGCCGTGGCAGCGAGGTGGGGGGAGATTAGGAGTATAGGAGTATTTCAGAGGCAGCACTGCCCCAGGCCTCACCTCACATCGCACCTGTTATATCATACCTGGGTCCCCCAGCCTTGTCCCTCCACCTCCAGACTTGCTCTCCTCTCCAAGATACTTTCCCAACTAAACTCCAGTGTCTCCACCCTAGGATGCTGTGACCAGCCTTTGCTTTGGCCGCTACGGGCGGGAAGATAACACCCTCATCATGACTACACGAGGTGAGGGGAGTCAGAGCTGGCGAGCAGTTTAGAGTGGGGCGCGAAGGGGACAGGCCCAATTATGGGAAGGAAGAGAAGGTGGACGGGAAGCATGGGTGGACCTGGGTGTGGAAAGCGAGGCCCACAGACACCCATCCTATCTGGGGCGGGGCCTCCACTGGGGACAGCTCATCAGCTGTTGATATCGTTAGCCAGGGGCCAGGCCCTGGGCTGGATTGTGTCTTCAGTTTACTCCAGTATCCCCAGGGCCTGCCGTAATACCAGGAATACCACAGTACTCGATAAATAACTGTGAATGAATGAATGAACTAATGGTAGGAGGTTATTAAGACACACTGCATTCATTCCAGAAACTCAGAGTCTTGGCAGAAAGAAAGACACGGGCACAGAAATGAGCCCAGATGAGGCAGATTGTCTCGGGGAGACATGTTGGGATGTAGGGTGGAACTGGGGAGGACAGCTCTGTTTCTGTCTGTCCACTTCTCTAGGCGGTGGCCTGATTATCAAGATCCTGAAGCGCACAGCAGTATTTGTGGAGGGGGGAGGTGAGGTGGGCCCCCCACCAGCCCAGGCCACAAAACTCAACGTGCCCCGAAAGACCCGGCTTTATGTGGATCAGACACTGCGAGAGCGGGAGGCTGGCACCGGTGAGATTCAGGCCAGTTCCTTCCTCTTCTTCCTCCATTGCTCCAAAGTGGCAAGAACTGGGTGAATGACGCCTAGGGGCCCTGAGCCGTGGGTGAAGACCTGGGTGAGCTGGGCAGGAACTCCAGGGACAGCCTGCACATAACTACCTCAGGTGGAAGGTACAAGAGCTCTAAGAATTCAGAGGATGAAGCAGTCACTTCTAGATGCAGGAATTCTTGTGAAAGAAGTACAGTTGGACTAAGGTTCTTCCTTTTCCTATTCAGTTTTTCCTGCTCATTCATTCATTCATTCAATACCTATGATTATGCCAGGCCTTGTGCCAGGTGCCTTGAATTAGGCAAGTCCCTAACTCGAGCACGGTCTACCTTGCTAACTTCATGCAAAGGGCTACTGAGGCTCACAAGAGGAAGTTTGCTTGGAAGATGGGGAAAGGCTTCAGAGAGAAGTGACTTTGGACTTTACCCTGAAAGACGCTTACAAGTCCACCAGGCCGAGAGGGATAGGGAAGGACGATTCAGGCAGAGGTTGGGTAGGGGCACAGGGCCCTACCTGGATTCAAGCAGTGTCTGCCTGTAGCTGTGAGTACAGTGCAGGAAGGCTGGGAGACCAGAGGGGAGGCTGGAAAGGCAGATCAGAGCCAGCTCCGAAAGGGCCTGCAGTGCCCAGCTGGGATGTTTGGGTTTAATTTAGGTAGTGGGGAGCTGGGAAAGATATAAAGCAGAAAAATTCAGTAATTCAACCAACTCTGTCTTCAAAAGGGATCTTGCTTGCAGTTTAAAGGTAAATTAGAGGATAAAGAAAATAGCTAGTAGGCTATTGTAGCTTAGAGAGTCCAAGAAAAGCAATTGATGTAGTAGAGAAATAATTAGGAAGTTCTCCAAGGTGGACAAGTTTTTAAAATGCAAAAATCAATAGCTTTTGTATATACCAACAGTAACCAGTTAGAAATATAATGGAAAGTTTCCATTCAGCATAGCAAGGAAATCCCTAGAAATTTAACCAAAAAAGTCCAAAGTCTAATAAAATTATAAAACTATTCTCAAAAACAAAAGACCACCTGAATATTTAAATGACAAGATTTACCAATTCTCAGGGTAGCAAGACCTAATGTTGTAATGCTGTTGATTAATTAACAGCTTGTAAAATTAATGTAGAGGGCTTGCCAAGTGGCTCAGTTGGTTAAGAGCTTGCTCAAGAGTGTGAGCTCTGAGCAACAGTTCGATTCCTGGCCCGAGCTGCTGCTGTGCTGCCAACAGGTGGCAGGATAGCTCAGCTAAAAAAATAAAATAAAATAAAATAAAAGTGTAGAACCATAGCAAAGTGACAGTTCAGATTCCACTGGGAGTTGTTTTGAGGACTTGATGAATTGAGTATAAGAGAAGAAATTGGGGGGAAAAAGGAGGGGACTTAGCCTATCAGGTAACAGAATGAACTGGGCAGCTGTAGGAATTCGCAGCTGTGGTTTCGATACAGGAGTTGATACCCATCAGTGGCACATTTAGGAAGCCTGGAAGCAAACCCTTATATATGTGGAAACTCAGTGTATGTTAAAGGTGTTTCAAATTAGTGGGTAAAGGAGAGACTATCCACAAAACGTAATTAGGACACCTTGCTTCTAGGAAAAAAAGAGCTCTACCTCATAACAAATACAAAAATCAGTTCTGGGTAGGTTAAAGATAAAATGTAAAAGAACCAGAGGAAAAGGAAAGATTAGCAGATGGGATAGCATAAGGATGTAAAACTTCTGAAAGGCAAAAGGCACCTCACACACATACAAAGTCGAGGACAGACTGGCAGACATCAGGAGCGGGGACGGGATTGGGCTCTGGAGATGGCTTTGAGGAAGAGCTGTCAAATCTTGACAAATGATTGGCGGTAAGGGGTGAACCCGCGACTTGACGGAGGGGGATGCCGTGACGGAGGTGGGGAAATGAGCTTGCTTTCCGCCTTGTTGAGTTTGAGGTGTTGATAGGACATCCAGATGGAGGTGACCATTAGTTAGAAGCAGCCTTCCCGTTCCCCACATTCCAGACCCTGCCCACTACCCTCCATTACTCTCCCCGCAGCAGCCTGAGTTGGAACACCCCTTTCCCCGCCCCCCCACCCTCACCTCCAGCATCAGCCCCTGTGTGTCCCTCCTCAGCCATGCACCGGACCTTCCAGACCGACCTCTACCTGCTGCGCCTTCGGGCTGCCCGTGCCTACGTGCAGGCCCTCGAGTCCAGCCTGAGCCCCGTGTCTGCGACAGCCCGGGAGCCACTCAAGCTACACGCTGTGGTGAGCACTCAGGTGTTGCGGGCAGTCAGCAGCCTCAGGGCCAGAGGGGCAGAGGTCGGAGGTGGGTGGGAACCCATCAGCCCCAGAGCCAATTCCAAGCCAGCTAGGTCCTGTGCCCCCTTCTCAGCTTCCCACAGGCCCAAGGGTCAGGCCTCACGTCCTCCTTTGGAGAGTCCTCTTACCTTCTCTGTCCTGTGCTGCCTCTTCCCACGGCTGACCACAGAGTGGGTCACCGACCAGCTCCCTCATTCCACGTGTGCCTCAGACAAGCCCCCAGACTTGGGGCAGGGCGCACAGTAGTCACCTTGGGACGTTTCTTCCCAGGAACCTGGAAGAGCTCTTGTAGCTGTGCGACAGGGAAGGACGCTGTTTATTTCAGTGACTGCGGGCAGCCCAAAGCATTAGGACGGCCCGCTACAGGGAAGGGGCCACCCTGAGACTCGCACAGGCAAAAAAAGGAGGAGTGGCCTCGCGGTCATCAGGGCTCCAACCAGCTCTGAGTGGCTCCCTGAGGCGTGCCATCTGCCCCAACTGGGTTTCTGATTTACCTTTCCCTCAAGAAAGTGGATAGATATAGAGAGGAAGAGGCTACAGAGCAGCTGAGGGGAAGAGGGAGGAAAATGAAACGATTGCGGCCACCATAGTGTAAGCGGAGAGGCGGGCCAGGCCCTGGGAAGACGGGCAGGGCCGTGCTGAGGACATAGGTGGGAGTTGGGGCCTGCGTCCCCAGGCCAGCTCTGCCTTCGACCAACTTGCGGAGTGGCGTCCATCCAGCCCCTTCCCCTTCCTGGGCCTCTGCCAACCTTCTGAGCTTCTGTGCCTCTTGTGGGGCAGAAGGCCAGTGCGTTAGAGTAGCTGAAGGAGGGTGATGGGGAGGCGAAGGGGTGGGGCAGCCAGGGCGCCCGGTTGTCAGCGCCCAAGGCCACGAGGCACTAAGGGCTTTTTCCACCCACAGGTTCAGGGCCTGGGCCCCACCTTTAAGCTCACACTTCACCTGCAGAACACCTCGACAGCCCGACCCATCCTCGGGCTGCTCATCTGCTTCCTGTACAATGAGGCTCTCTATGCGCTGCCCAGGGCCTTCTTCAAGGTACTGGACCCTTCCCCCTGAGACGTGACACAGAGCGCCTCCCCTGGTCAGAGGTGAGGGAGCAGGCAGGTGGCCGCAGCCACAGACCAGGCTAGGGCACAGCAGGGGCCTCTGGGGAGAGCTCCCAAGACCTGCCTCAGCCACGTTTTCCCCAGCCTACGAGAGGTCTCAGAGCCACACAGAAAGTGCTGGGAGAACAGCCATGCTTGGGTCCCTCCTATGCCTCTCCCAGAAGCCCATTGGTGCTGGGGGGGGGGTCCCAGAGCCCACCCTGTTTCGTAGTCACTCCTGCAAGCAGGAACGGAGCTTATCTCTACCTCAAGGAGAACATTCCACAGTGAGGAGCCTGGTTTTCCCCCAGGTCCTCCAGATTGGGAGGACCCTAAGTTGGGAGGA